ACCCAATCACGCAATAAACACGTTTACGGTTTGTTTTTTTCTTGAGTAGCGTAAACTGATCGTGAACTCCGATTTTCCCATGTTATATCGGGTGGAATTGATTTTGAAAGAATTTTAGCTTTCAATCTAAAGACTGCGTCTATCGTCAGAAAGTATTTACTTACAAACAAAGAGGTGCTAATTTTACAAAATTGACTTGTATTGTTTAAAGCCGCTACCACATCGCACGACTATGTCTATTGTTTACAAATTATTATCAACGACTGGCAAGATGCGTGTCGGTCGATACGTAAGTATAATTACAATATGACAATAGTCGGAAGCGTTTCCGTGGTGGCCGCTAATTTTGAGTGCCGGTCAGGCCGACCAGCGTGACGAGATCCCCCAATGAAAAAAAAAGCACTGTGGCGGTCTTGCTAATCACCGTGGTGGTGTCAGACCGGTGTGGCGGCAAATCGAAGCACTGTGGCGGCACCGCCACGCTGTTTACATCCTGGGGAGAACACTGCAAGCCATGCATGGCACAGTCCCTGTAAGTTAGCAATATATATAGTTTCTGATGCTTCATTATGATGATTTTTTTAACATTAAAATGATTGACATTCAGTCATCTTGTATTTGATCATGAAACGAGTACTTGTCCATATTGGGGGATCGTACACTGGAAGAGCAATATTTCGGCCATTTTTAACCAGATCGTCAAACTAATACATCTGTAAATCTATGACATGATGTATAATGAATGTATAAAATTTGAGCACAAATCAGTCAAAGCATGGCAGAGATATGGCACTGGAACTGTATTCATTAACACAAAATGGCTGCCATTTAAAATCTGATTTGAAAAATAAAATGACATCCATCAAGGTCCAGTTCTAGAATGCCAGAAATGCTTGATTTTGACGATTTTTCAGCACAAAAATTCATTCAGCCATCTTAAATCAGATCGCGAAACAAATTGATGTGCATATGTATAAAATTATGTATGGATGCACTCACAGAGGTCAGTCCATAAGACTAATAAATGACTCAACTGTGTCTCAGTTGATTCTTTTAAAATTAACAATGCAGAAAAGGAGTGTCTTATATATTTCTTGCTTGTACAATGTACATTTGTAATTGTTTTCGGTTCATTTTCATCAAATTTCATTGAAATGTAATTAGTATTCAAGATATTGGTGGAAAAGTAAAACAATTACAAACTATTATGCAAATTAGATAATTAATATGAATAGATTTTCACATCAAACTAATCAGGTCTGGCCCAGACCACCTATGTACCCAAGTTTTAATGAAATCTGACCAGCTGATATTCGTGGAACAGGCACGCACGCACACACACACCCACCCACCCTCACGGTAACTGCAAAGGCTCCCATTGTGTCCTTTGCACACAGGAGTCGAAAATTACAAATAAATCATAATGAATACATTACCTGAATACTAAAACCTGAGTAACCGGCGTCCTCCTACAAGGTCCATTCCGACTGAACGCATAACCAGTGAATAAATCTTGCGGGTTTCCTGAATACGATCCATCGTATCGTTCATTAATAGACACGTCTATTCTTGCACCTTTTGGATGAGGCTGAGAAAACACGACCAACATGCACAAGTAAATTTGGGAGTGTCTTTAAATTTGGAACACCTACCACATCCTAATTACTAACCAACCCCCCCCCCTTCATTCTAATTCTAATTAACAGTGTTTATGATAAAAAAAAAAGAACTACAAATGCCAAGCATCAAGACTTTACATTACATCATTTACTAGAAAACCTGTTCAATAGAATCAGTGTCAGTTTGTGTCCAGAATGAGGTGATAGAGCCTTTACAACTGGGACCAACATGCACAAGTAAATTTGGGAGTGTCTTTAAATTTGGAACACCTACCACATCCTAATTACTAACCAACCCCCCCCCTTCATTCTAATTCTAATTAACAGTGTTTATGATAAAAAAAAAAGAACTACAAATGCCAAGCATCAAGACTTTACATTACATCATTTTACTAGAAAACCTGTTCAATAGAATCAGTGTCAGTTTGTGTCCAGAATGAGGTGATAGAGCCTTTACAACTGGGAAAAAATGCTTCATAACCAGTTGTTTTTTTTTTGTAAAGGTAATTTGACAAAAATTTGGACAAGATTTACGAACAAAATAAATATCTATTAGTAAGATTTACGAACACATTTTGTACAAAATACCCTCGCAAATCGTCCTCATTTAGTTGTCAAGACTCGACTGTGATCATCACGCGTGTTACGGTTTGAGTGATTGCCATTTTAAAGTTAAACAATGTCCCGTTACTTCTAAGATTGCAACAATTGTTACATGGTGATCGCGATCAACACGGAACTGCCACTGAATATATTTTTCAACTCTAAAGTTATTTTGGTGTCATAGCACATGCGTAGTTTAGTCGACATGCGTTTCAAGATACACCGCGACATTACTCTCAGTATGGGACGGTTTCGTGTCGCCCTTATCAAACACGTGATTTGTTTATTTATTATAAATGGAGACTACGTCAAAAAGGAGTAGACAACTGCTCGACGAGTATTTTTCACGACGAGATGGACTCAGGAGAAACCGCTAAATCGTGTTCAGAACCAGAAACCCATGGGTGTCCTAACCCTGACAGCACCAAGAAACGGAAAGTTGATCATACTGCAGCACGATTTCAGAAATAATGGAAGGTTAGCTGCGGTTCCATAGCTCTTTGGTGCGACAAACAATCTAATTTTGCCC